GAGGGTTTACGTCGGGTTGTGTAGACAAATGAATACATGGACATGATTGAAAAGAACTTATAGCGCAGATTACAAAGGAACAGGGGAGGGTTTAACGGGCTACAATCTAGGTGTAATCAGCCACTATGTCAATTCTTTATAAGTAGAATAAACAAAGGGGTATGGGAGTATTTAAATACCAATTTTACGATCAATAATATACAAGTCTGGGTATTGGTGGTGTATTGGGTGATCAGACTAACCCTATACATTATACGGGAATCTAGAGGTATATACGAATCACTGTCGTAGTGTTATAGAGTTCTAGGCGCGTGTTTTAGTACCGACTGTTCGGTAGGACGACAGTTATCAGAGGCGACTCGCCCAGAGAGGGAGAGAGAGTGTGTGTGCGGGTTTGCAGTAGGAGACTGTATCGATTAGTTCCTTGTAATTTATGAAAAATTATGCGTTTTCGAATTGACTCATCGCTACAGCGATACCCGCGGAGTCTGGACAAAGAGACAGGCACGTGCGAATAGGCTCTGTAAAACGCCAAGGTAAGGAGCCTGCACGTGAGGAAAATCTACAGAAAACAAGGTAAGAGTAAAACGTAAGAAAGTCCGTCAAATGTTTTAAGCATGTAACAGTTTTTATGTATTGTCAATGGCCTGTAATGGGACCTTTTCAAATGGTCAACTTGACGGTCAATGACTGGCATAGGATTACAGGATTAGCTAGTGGGTATGTAACTCTTAATCCGGATACAGGTTTACAGGGTGTGTTTCATTTATAACTTTATTATTCAATCGACACCAGCACAAGCTTCCAATTGTAACTTTATTAACCTCCATTGACGAACAGCTGATCTGATAAATAGGAACCTGTTATCGTTATATCTTGTCAGCGGTGACAAATAAGTATGAGACAATATGCTGGGTGTTGAATACGGTGACATATAACAGTGGTCTCGTACCAACCAAAGCTCGGACAATAACCAGACCAGGAAACCAGCCCACAGTCGTCCAGTCTAACTCTGACGAAATATAACATTCGTATATTGTTTGAGTTCGTAATGCGTTATGGTCATGCAGGTAACGCGTCCAGGTAAGGCATACCTGTTAATTGATTTACGTCCTGGTAACTGTTCAATACCCTGCTTGAAGTTTGTACAGAATCGTTTTGATTGACGGAGAGTGTTAGAAATCTTGGTATGGATAATTTACGTGTACGGAGTTCTCTTGAGGTACGTATTACCGTTCTCCGAGATTTGTATAAACTCACTAAATGTCAATAATAAGATACCTTACTGGTTGATTTATTAGTTGAATGTGATTGACGAATCTCAAAGATCGACACAGGACAACACGTATATACGGTTCTAAAACTTTGGCGATCTTCGGCAAAGTACGATTTGGACATGGACTGTACTATATATAGGACGTTGGTGATATCTGCGGAGAAGCGATACAGAATTGGTGAAATAATCTTAGGGCAGTACCGATATCGACATGATTAGTGTAGAATTGGCGATGTTTGGGAAGAATCGATTTAATATGGTGAATGTTGAATAAGTCATGTTTGGGAAAGATCGATATTTTTGAAATTGTTGATAAATAATTGGTTTTATTTGATAATGAGCGATATTGACATGGATCATGTTGAATTAATAATATTTGGGAAAGGGCGATATTGACGTGGATCATGTTGAATTAATGATATTTGGGAAAGGGGCGATATTGACATGGATCATGTTGAATTAGTGACATTTGGGAAGGGTCGATGTTGTCTAAGATTATGTTGAATTAGTGATTTTGGAAAAGGGCGATATAAGCATGAAAAAAATAATATTGAATTGCTGATGAAAGATATTGAATGTAAAATTGGCCATATTCATATAGCATTGTTTGACATGTGATTCGTATTGAATTGATGCTGAAGTTAAAAAGGAGACAAGGAACTTCGATGCTGAGTAAGCAATATTTGGGAAGGGCGATGTTGACCTGGCGATATAAACCAATGGAATGATGTCTTTGAGATTAAAATTGGACGATTACTGTAAAGGGACTATAAAGAAGTGACTGGTTCTATTGTTGGTAAGACAATTTACGGGATATAACGACGTACCGACTATCGGAGACACCGATGTGTAGTTACGTTATTGACAATATGTTATATGGAGGATACTTTGAGGGGTACCTGGCGACGAGCATCGTGTTTTGTGTGAGTAAACAGCGACATCTGTGGAATAATGTGGACATACAGGGATAATTCATATGGAAATATTATATATAACACATGTAAACTGTTTGAAGTGGTTGACAAAAAGTAAACAGAAAACAATAATTGACTGTGAAGTAAAATGAAGATGATGCTGTTTGGCGGAAGAAGACGGTATACACATTGGAAATTTGCAGAAGAGGTATTCTATAATATGGACCGGATTCTGACTGAGAAGTATTGGAACCTGGAGACAAGAATGGAACACAGCGGACAGGAGTTAATAAGGAGTCCGAGTATCCTTTCACCCTACAACCACACGGACCTGAGAACTTGTGTTAGGACCTATCCGGATCTATACACAGTTATATTACACGTTTTATGGGTTTAAATCAATGAATTATAATGATGATGTGGTCCTGCGATAGGGTCAAAAGGTGTTATGGTTTATTGAGGAGGGGAAATAGAACTACACAACGGATCTGGAACGCTGAATGGGATGAGTGCTAAGGGACGCTAAGAATGAGAAAGTGTGCAAAGGGGAGGGAAGGTTTATAGCGTTTGGAGTGGGACCTCCGTCATGCGCTACTGTTCCCACAGTGTCGATTCCAGTCGCTGAATGAAATGGCGGCACTGGTTCCAAAGTTCGTGTTTAAAGTTCCTGAGATACATAGCACATGATAAATATATATATGTACGTGTACATACCCCGCACTCGCTACCTGACAGGTGTATTTAGGTTTTCGTGGATTGGGACCACACCTTACCGATAACAGGAACAGTCCATTGGACCACACTAGACGAGATTGTGTATACAGTACATTTAAATGACCCCAATCAACTAGCGTTCGATCGATCGATTGATTGATTGATTGATCTGTATCAATTTCAAGAATCATTGAGTTCCAGTTAAAAGGCCTAGAACTGGACTATGGCCTGTGTATACACGCTCCCGCGAAATGGTATGCATTTCAATTTGTATGTTTAAATTTTTGACATCATTGAATGACAAAGGACTTTTTAACGGCTGTATGTACACCCGATAAGTCATACCGAAGGCTAGTGTATATGGTAATATATAGGTGCTACTGACCATTGGCTAATCAGTGACCAGTCGATGACCGACGGAATTTTAACAATGCAACTTATTCTTTAGTTGCGTCCAAAGTCTGGGACATATCAATCATTCAAGCAATCGGATCACTTCGCCACTTTCCGTCGCATGTTCGTTATTGTACGGAAAGGGCCGAGCGTGGTTTAATACAATTGCTAATCAACAATGCAGTTTGATTTTGAACCCTTACACCGGTGCATCAGTACATTTGTTACGTACAAATACCTGTATACCAGGAAATGTTTACCGCATTTTTAAATTTGCCTTTTTCATCATCCAATATATATTAAGACAGGTAATATTCTGTATCTGTTTATTATCACCTGTATGTACGTACCTGTATACTATACCTGTATACTATCTTCTGTTTGTACGTACCTGTATATTATCACCTGTATGTACGTACCTGTATACCATACTTGTATATTACCACCTGTATGTACGTACCTGTATACTTTACCTGTATATTTGTACCTATATACTATACCTGTATATTTGTACCTGTACACTATACATGTACCTGTATATTACCACCTGTATGTACGTACCTGTATACTATACCTGTATATTATCACTTGTATGTACGTACCTGTATATACATGTATATTTGTACCTGTACGCTATACATGTACCTGTATAGTACCACCTGTATGTACGTACCTGTATACTTAACCTGTATATTATCACATGTATGTACGTATATGTATACTATACCTGTATATTATCACCTGTATGTACGTACCTGTATATTACCACCTGTATGTACGTACCTGTATACTGTATACTATATCTGTATATTATCACCTGTATGTACGTACCTGTATACTATACCTGTATACTATACCTGTATATTTGTACCTGTATACTTTACCTGTATGTACTTACCTGTATACTAAACCTGTATAATATCACCTGTATGTACGTATATGTATACTATACCTGTATAGTATCACCTGTATGTACGTACCTGTATATTACCACATGTATGTACGTACCTGTATATTACCACCTGTATGTACGTACCTGTATACTATATCTGTATATTATCACCTGTATGTACGTACCTGTATACTATACCTGTATATTTGTACCTGTATACTATACCTGTATATTTGTACCTGTATACTTTACCTGTATGTACGTACCTGTATACTAAACCTGTATAATATCACCTGTATGTACGTACCTGTATACTATACCTGTATATTATCACCGGTATGTACGTACCTGTATACTATATACCTGTATATTATCACCTGTATGTACGTAACTGTGAAGTACACATGTATACTATACCTGTGTACTATACTTGGGTATTAGCACCTGACAGTGTATACTATACCTGTGTATTATTACCTGTATATAAGTACCTGTACACGTTACCTGTTTATAAGTACCATACAGTATACTATACCTGTATGTAAGTACCTGTCTACTATACCTGTATATCATACCTGTATATTACTCCTGAGTATTACTATCTACCTGTACGTCTAATTTGAGTTATCTGTACTGGTTTTATACATCTCTGATATAGCATATTAACATCAATATATTCAAGATCGTGTTTTTGTGTGAAGTAAGGTATGTTCGTCGTATAAGAGACATGCCAAGTCCCGTCCCGGATTTAATTAACACACATATATAATGCCTTACATTGAGTTTATCATCACTATACAGCTAAGCCTGTACGATCTCTATTATATCCATATTGTAAGAAAGACGTGTGTCGTAAACAGACTGAGATTATATATATTTATCGTACACCTAACGCTGACAAAGAGTGCGCCTGTATATGTCTTCATATAAGAAGCCCTAACTCATAACATGTGTTGAAAAAGATAATATGGACGGGTGTCTGTCATCTCGGGGCAACCACAAACAAACCTCGCTCCTGTAATGACGATGTTGAGATACTATTCCTGTCTCGTGGAGCTGACTTCCCGTGATTCATCAGAGATAATATTATTACCTGGACAACTGTTTAAAGGATAGACTCCGGTCATATTTCTTGGCGTTCTGACCATTGGTCATTGACGAGTCGTTGTCAGGATGGTGTTACTGTCCAATTACTGCTGGCTAGTGTTTCATTGACCATTGATCAATATCACTACTGAACAACAGGCAGAGTGTTGGTGTTACTGAGGCATACTGGACAATACACACGCTTACTGGGCGCATTGGAAGGCACTTAGGGTCATCGGACTGCTAACCTAGGCGCATTGGAAACAGCCATTGGACTTCTTACCTAAGTCCATAGGATATATAGAATCACTGGATTACTTGATATAGGCGCACGAGGTACAAAAGTCCTTCCAGCTTAAGCATCAGTTCAATGGACTTTTAATCTAGGCGCACCGAATTCATATGTTCCTTCTAACTTAGGCGCACTGGTCACAAAGGATCAATGAATTCTAACTTAGGCGCACCGAGTAGATTTAATTGATGGTTGTAATCTAGGCGCACCGAGTACATATGATCCTTCTAACTTAGGCGCACTGGTCACAACGGATCAATGAATTCTAACTTAGGCGCACCGAGTAGATTTAGTTGATGGTTGTAATCTAGGCGCACCGAGTACATATCATGTTCCTTTTTACATAGGCGCATTGTACACATAGGATCATGATTTTAAGCTTGGAGCACTAAATACATTGGTTTGTTATTATCTAGGCGCACTGGATACAAATGATTATCGCTAGGTTTCGCCAGTTACTCAAGTCACTGGTTGGTTGGCTAGCAATGACAATTACTGTAGTTAATAGGTTTCGCCAGTCACTCTTGTCACTGGTTGGTTGGCTAGCGATGACAATTACTGTAGTTTATAGGTTTCGCCAGTTACTCTAGTCACTGGTTGGTTGGCTAGCGATGACAATTACTGTAGTTTATAGGTTTCGCCAGTCACTCTTGTCACTGGTTGGTTGGCTAGCGATGACATTACTGTAGTGTATAGGTTTCGCCAGTTACTCTAGTCACTGGTTGGTTGGCTAGCGATGACATAACTGTAGTTTATAGGTTTGGCCAGTCACTCTAGTCACTGGTTGGTTGGCTAGCGATGACATAACTGTAGTTTATGGGTTTCGCCAGTTACTCTAGTCACTGGTTGGTTTTATGCGACTGGTTCACGAGGTTAGACCTCCAGTATAATGTTACACAAACAAGTACATGCATTTTAATGCATTAGGTCGCTGTGGGAGATCGATATTGGAGTTTGAGCGATGATACATTTATAGCATCCTCTCTTCGGCCCACACAACGCCCCGGGACAGACGGACAATTACACCCTCCCATTACATACAGGTCTTGACGGCAATGGTTTACAGGTCGGCACAAAAACTCATTTAGAACCGACGGTAAATTGCTGCGGTCACGTGTTCGCCATTCCCGGACGGAAGTTCGTCTGGACTGAGGAGTGACAGATCGCCGATCCGCAGTGTTGAAATCGTCAGGTTTTAGGGATTTAAGGGATATTTATGGCTTTATGTTTGAATTAATGACCGAACAGGGAGAGATGGACATTGGACATATCTAATACCGAATATCTTGATTAGACGAGAGCGCATGTCCCCCCTATGCAGTTTAATTAATCTGTCTTCAAAAATACGACATTATCGGTGCAGAGATCATAATGGGGGCATCGTCGCGTTGCACCATGTCATTATAAACAGCATCGGTGAACAATATATTATTGCAATCTATTCTTATTGCACAAAAGCTAATAGAACGCGGAACGTTTAGAGATTGTGGTATGAAAATTACTTGACAATATTTTCCTCTATCGTTTCAGATCCAGACAAAACAGCAAAATGATAGAGAACGGTTATGAAGAACATTTTGCTTACTCAGACGACAGAGTACGGAATGGACGTGCTTCGTCAAGAAGTGGGCGCACGAGTCCGGCTCACAGCGCCCATGGAAGCCTAATTCGACATAGTTTGATGAAGGGTACCGACGACAAGCGCGCCATGAAGGTCAGATTCTACCGTAATGGGGACAAATTCTTCAAGGGAATTGTATACGCTGTGTCATGTGAGCGATTTCGGACGCTTGATTCGTTACTTGTTGATCTTACCAATAGTCCGGTGTGTGACCGGAACGTTCTCCCTAATGGAGTCCGTCATATCTTCTCTACTGACGGAAGTCACAAGGTGACCAACCTTGACCAATTAGAGGAAGGCGAGAGTTATGTGTGCGCATCAACAGAGCTCTTCAAACGTCTGGACTATACAAAAAGCGCTAGCCCCAATTGGAACGTGAATGTTCGCGCCAAAGATGACGACTCGGCCATTTCCGGTACAAATCGTGAATCACTTATGGAGGACATGAAGGATTATATAAAACCCAAACTGGTCACGATTGTCCGAAACGGGTCAAAACCCCGCAAGGCCGTGCGTGTGCTCCTTAACCGGAAAACGGCTCATTCGTTTGACCAAGTCATGGATGACATCACAGAGGCCATCAAGCTCGACTCGGGTGCTGTTCGCAAAGTGTTTACCCTGGACGGCAAGCAGGTAAGTCATTATACCTTGTAATTGATATTGTTAATATAAGACATACAAACATTTGTCCTTTGCCTGGGTTATCTGAAAATGAGTTGTCGCTTCTTGCAGCAGTTTACATCTCGGAACACTTTATATTTAGTTTGTAATATTTGGTTACACTTGATGTACATGTGATTTCACTTGATGTACATGTGGTTTCACTTGATGTGCATAATTATGCACGCTGCACTCGTCACTGTGCTTATTATGTTGCTCGTTTGTCCCCGAAACAGACCAAAGTCCACCATAAATCTCTATCAATTTTCTCAGGTCTGAATGGAAATGTTTTGATTTTGACGTCCCGGAAAGTCCGAAATTGACTTCAGACATTCCAAGGATATCCGGATACTTTCGTGATAAAGTTTTATGACATTAATGGTTAGCACAACGACAGATTTCTCAACGCAGATTTCCGGAACTGAAGGGTGTCATTTGAAGCGACACATTTAAGATCTACGCATGCCTGACAATACCTGTTTAAACGTGACAAGTATTGTGAAACTTAAAGCTCCGTGAAGGTCGTCTGGACCCCCTCCCATCTACAACACCTGCTGAGTTGCAATGCACGTAATGTGCATGCGCGTGCGTGTTTGTCGCGCGTGATCTTCAAAGAAGCCTGTTAAGCTAGGATGTGGCTGCCAGCTTTACCAGATAAGAATGCATGATGTGATTTTAAGCGGGTTTTGAGAAAATAGATTGGTATAACTGTCTATTGATTTCGCATTTCGCCGACAATACTGACGGGTTTGTTATCCTACTTCTGGTGACAAAACCTCATCGACAGCACAATCAAATGCTCGTTTATACAAGAACCACATTTTAAAGGCAGTTCATAAACACAGGTTTAGTTCAATCCTTCGATACGATCTATTTAGGAAGCCTTTTATCTCTACTGGCTGCCGAGACGCGCTAACCAAACAGTTCAATACTGTCGGTCGCTTTATTAACGGTTAAAGAATTTAAATTATAGAAAGCGAAAGCAGAATAAGAGTGAATGTGTAAATTTTTAAATGTTCGTGTATAGATGAAATATTCATATCGTTAATGACATTTCGATAAAGTTCAGGTGTAGGCTTTGAAGTTCAGTTAAACAACATTAGATTTTAACAGGATAACATTTATATCCGGTGTATTATATGGGCGTTTTGAATAACGCCATTACTATTATCTGGCTGGGTATTTATAGTCTGTAATAGCGGTCCGGTAAATCAAATTATCACGTCACCAAATACAAAATTAATTTCAATTTGTCAGCTGAGTAATATGGACTCTTTCTACAATTATAATGAAGTTTCCTCCGTCTTCGTGTTTTTTTTCTCTCTCTCTCTCTATGTTGAATAGACACATAGACTTACTCATCGGTATGAACGAACCATTTTACGTACAGATGTTACAGTATACACGAAATGCGGTTGGTTTCTAAGGCTGTACTCATTTAGTTTAAACATATCTTATTGTACAAATATACAAATGGATCGGACAACAAGTTATTACAACTTAATAGAGTCCTCTCCTCAATACATATTGTAAAAATAATGTTTATGTTTTTGGGGAAAGGGAAAAAGATAGGTTGAGAAAGGAAATGTGGGGTGGGAGGGGGTGGGGGTGATGGAGGGGAGGGGTGGTACCTAGAAAATTAAACTTGTAAACTGAGAAATCGATCCGCATTTGAATAAATTATAAATTATACAGATTCTTTCAAAATGAACAGAATCAATGTAACAAATAAATCAGGCAAAATAATGAAATACAATTTCATAAACACATATAACAACTTACACATAAATAAGAATAGAAAATTAATTATAACTATCAAAACTTACTGTAATCATTATCATCAAACTAGTTACCGGGAGACTAACTGATCTGCAACAATCACCATTCGGCTAACCTCGGCTGATTCCGGTACTCTTCATCAATTGTGTACGGAATCTGCCGAAATGTGACGAGTGCAACAATCGCAAGCACAATCGGTTACTTCCGATGTGTGATTTGACAAAGAAGGGTGTTTGCGAACAGATATGTTGAAATCACAGAGACTTTCAATGCATTCCTAACACTATTTCACACAACACACACCGGGAAACATTAGTTATCACCCCAAAAGTCACATACCATTCAAGAATCGCTACCATGATAACACAACCAATTTCAGCTTCACTCTAATATCGCGAATGTAGTTTATGACATACAGAAAACTCCGCTACTATGGTAACAGAATTGCCCCACCGGGAATATGTCGTTGGAAACATAATGTCAAGAGAACATTACGGGTTATAACACTGGCCACGTTTAATACGGGTTACTGGAGTACATCGCTACATACCGTCCGCAACATGTCGTTTAAACAACTGCATTTAGAGTAGCCATTTTGTTTGTGATTCATGAGTCCAGGGTCCGTTATCATACTCAAACTCAGACACTTTGTTCAAGCCCAATTTCTTGTTCTGGTGATTACCTAGAAATAATATATTGTCAATGATTTAGAAGAAGTTTGGAGTGACTTAAAGCGAAAACCGTTTTCAATTAGACTAGACTTGTCGATCGTGTCACATGATTTAAGCAAGTTAAGAAAGTCAGTTTGAGCAAAGAAGCCAAGCTTGACCACGAGAACGGTCAGATGAACAACATCGACCTGTGGTATGTATTATATAAGACCACGGAAGCATGTATAACAGTAAATGGTCATTTGGAAAATTACTCTAAAGCAAATCACACCACTCGACGGAAAAATGGCGACTGACTTTCTTCTCTCGGGACACATGAGACGAGGTCGGCAGCACAGCGAACTTCCTTGTAGACTTATGACATAATTCTATACCCAGACTCGATACTAATGAGAGTGTTCCATACAATATAATGGCGGCAGTATGCACTCTACCGGGCAATATTGAACATGTATTTCCCCTGGCCCTAATCTAAGTTGACAACAAAATGGCATTGCTTAGTCCAGCATGCAATATTACGACGCATGTAACGGCGGGACATTGGAAATTAAATAAGGACGGCTCAATGCCAGCTTCTCAATAGAACCTACGAATTCTATTAAAATCTGTACACATGCATTGCGCCATAGGAATGGTTGCTTTTCAGGAAGCAATTTTCGCCCTCTTTTATCCGGGACGTGGATCATCTCTGGCCAAACAAACGAGGTTTGGTCGCGTAATGCACGCCCATCTTTCATGCCTGTTTTGTGATCGTAGTATGGCTGTCACGTAATCTCCCTTCCGTAGTCCCGAATCGATTTTGTGCCCGTAACATTCGTCTTGCTTACAATTGTGTTTCGATAACATTTGATTATTCGGTACAGGGAAGCGGCTGTATAATGTTAAATGACGACACATTCTTAATCAATATACAATTTTCGAGACATTTCTGATATTTTGTGTTAAGAGTTGGCGTTACTGGCTTTATATAGCCAGCTAGTAGATATATTAATGCATTTTCTGGCACGCAACGCAATCAGTCATGATCGAACCTGAATTCGATTTCAGTGTTAGCGGTTGACACTTGATTTATGAAGAGAAAAATAAAAATTTACAGTTACAACCGAGAGTGCACACTATTTGCGTGTGTTTGCATACATTGATCGGCCGTCCGGTTGATACTAGGCTACCTTGGAGGGGGTGGGGTGGGGTGGGGTGGGGGTTAGGGAGAGGATGGGGAGGGATGGGGTTGGTAAACTATGGTTGGGTGAAATAATAGATTAATAAAGGTTTAACAGTACCAGCGGAGGTCAGAGGTCAACACTAGAGGAGGCGTTCAACGAACATAAAATATATAAACCCGTTTTGGGGTTCGCTTTTTAAGAGGCGTCTTTTGTCGACGATATTTGTTTTGGTTTTCACACGTATATGCAAATATCTGTCAATCTGAGAGCTTAAGTGGTCTGTGCCCATACATACTGAGATAACCAGATACACGTACCCAATATAGTATACCTGTGTACGTACAATATATATATATATACATCACGTACAATATATTATATCTATACACCACAGACATCGCGGTTTAGGCATAAACGTCATTATGACTGGTTCACATATAACTTTTCCATTTCCAAGACAATATGTATATTCTTTTCGGGCGCTTCTAATAAATGTATATTCCGAAAACTGCAGGGTTGTAGGATATGTCTAATGGCGGTCCCCTGCCGATTGAAGGATGTAGGGTGAGTGAGGATAGGAATTTCTAAATATTTATCTGTTGTACCAATTGTAAGAGTTGAGGTCTTCGTCTGTCCCGGCTGTACCTTGAGTAATACATTGCCGCTGTCTCTGAGCACATCTACGCATGCCTCATTTTCTATCGTTGCCCATATTGTGTTGATCCGTCTTTGAGGCAAATAATCATTCACAGCCAATTGCCAAATTTAGACATTTTAATAGATATTTATAGCTTTATGTTGGAACTTATGACTGAACAGGAGACCAACATTGGACAGATGTGAGCGCATGTCTCCCTTATGCAGTTTATTAATCTGTCCTCAAAAATACGACAGGACAGATGCCGTGGTCGTTATGGGAGGCACTGTCGCGTTGCACCATGCCATTACAAACAGGCAACTGTAAAAATTATATCATTGCACTCGATTCTTATTGCACAAATGTCAATCGATCTCGCGCGGAACGCTTGGAGAGTATAGCATGAAAATAACTATTTTTCTCCTGTTGTTGCGATATTAACTCGTATGACATCATATGCAGCTGTTGCGAGGACGTTTAACCCCGAAAAAAACGTATCTAATATTGGAGACACAAAATAGTCCGGAAATTGACATTAATCCTTTCAGTCGTGTCTTCCATCGCAATATCTCGGCCGATTCCGTCAAGGCTCGTTTGATTCCGAAACTTGGCGGAAGAGGTCGAGATGTTCCGATTGGTAATTGAATGACGTGTCATATCATTCAGTGACGACACTGTGCTATGATTATCTGATGACTTCTTCGTGGTTCTTATTAAATAAAT